GCAAGAAATAAATGTCTGTTACTTGAGACATTATACATTCTTGGGTCTCTTGTCAGCCTGCTCTAATACACAATAATTATCCATTATCAGAATGGATAAATTGCGATATAGTCATACAGTAGAATACAAGCTACAAAATTGAGTAGGGTTTCTTGTATCATCATGAATATGTCTCAATGTCTGGGGCCGGGCACGGTGGCTCACACCTGTCATCCTAACATTTTGGGAGGTTGAGGCTGGAGGATCGCTTGAGCTCAGGAGTTCTAGACTAACCTGGGCAATGTGGTGAAATCTCATCTCTACAAAAAATAAATTAGCTGGACATTGTGGTGTGCACCTACAGTCCCAGCTACTTGGGAGGCTAAGATGGGAGGACTGCTTGGGTCCAGGAGATCGAGATGCTGCCATGAGCTGTGATCATGCTACTGCACTCCAGCCTGTGTGACACAGTGACTGTCTCAAAAAATATTAAAAAAAAAAAAATTCTGCACATCTCCTTAAAAGAGAACATTTTAGAAATTTACTCTTGCTTCATCTTGATTCCTCTCTCTCTTCTCATAGCAAACCCATTAGCAAGTCCTGTCTACCACCAACTACATTTTGAATCTGTTCACTGTACTTCTGCCATTCCAATCTAAGCCATCATTACCTCTTGGCTAGACTACAGTATCTTCCTAATTGGTTTCCTTCCACTTTCTTCTGGCTTGGATACACTCCACCTAACAGCTGTAGTTTTTAACATTGTAAATCAGACCTCATTCACCTGCTAAAGGCCCTTGGTCTACATCTCTGTGCTCATAACTCCTGCTAGCCTTAATAGCCTCATTTTCCTTTCCTCCACCCATGTTCTATGACCATTCCCCAACTATACTTTACACACACCCTTCTGTTCCTTGAACCTACCAAGCTTATTGCCATCTTAAGGTATTTGCATTCACTGTTGCCTCTGCGTGGAATAGTTTCTTCCCCAGTTTTTGCAGGGGCTTCATTTCCATTGTAGGCTTGATTTTAGCAATCATAGCAGGTCTTAAATTTCACCTCAGAGGTATTTTCCATCTAAATTCACTTTCTTAACCCTGTGTAATTTTCTAAATACCAAAGCAGACAAAATGTAGATTGAAATCTTAGTTGGCCAACTTGCTGCTCACTTAGAGGTATGGATTTCAAGGTATGAAATCAGTTATCATTCAACTTTTAATGTCTTCAAGCCTTCGCTCTGGAAGGGACAGCCACAAGCAGTATACCATATCCATTATCTGGGATGATAAGAAGTAAAAATGAACTGAGATCAGGTGGAAGTTACCCACTCCTGAATCAGATAATCAGGACACCAGTGGCAGGAGGGGAATTAACAGAAGAACTAATATGCTTCCTACTTTACAACTTTTTATCAGCCTTAGAAATATATTGTCTTAGGGTTTTTACATCCACAGAGAATAAGCCTTCGAGTTTGTCTTGGATACCATGCTTTCCTTGTTCCGTGTTTCTGTATTTTCAGCTCACAAATTGAGATTTAATTTAAAGCACCTGCATGCTAAAATCCTAATTTCTGCATTAAAACTAGTTTTTATTATTTGCACGTGTAAGACATTTAAGCGTGGTAATAGAGTGATGAAGCAGAAAATGTGTTACATTGGAACAGTAATAAAATCAGTGGATAAATGTTTTTATTTAATAACGTTTAATAAACTACATATTTAACAGAAAAGTTGTTAAAGCGAGAAGGTAAGGACATATTGAAGGAGAATCCTTTTTAAATCCAATTTTAAGGGAATTCACTTTACATGTAAATAAAGCTGAAAATTCAGGAAAATTATTTTGAAGTTTTTCATCACAATTTCTGGGAAACAAAGTTGATCCTATTTTCCCATAGAGGACCCATATTAAAATGTGAGATTATATTCCTCTACTGGGATTCAGCATTCAAATAACTAGTCCCAACTTCAATGTCGCAGAACCCCCCCAAAATATATAACTCTCCTAAAAATATATACTTTAAAATATAATTTATAGTTCTACTAAATGGGAATAAACATATGGCATGCGTTAATTACAAAAGATACTTCATGTACTAGAAAGTGCACCTGTAAGAAAATTAATAAATGACCTAAAAGCACTTAAGATAATAAACATCATTTTACTTCTATCTTTTAGAATGCTGCTAGGGAAATGGATGACACTTTTTAAAAAGTCCAAATATTTCAACTTTTTTTGGATACATTTTCCTGAAATAAGCAGAGGCATTCAATCACCTCCATGCTACATGTGTTTCTTCAAAGAAAACATTTTCAAATGTAAGAGCTGACCCAATAGATGTCTCCTTCTCTTACCTTCTCAATTTACTTAAAGCTAAACTTGTAGGGACTTCACATCAGATGAAAGGTCACTCTGCCTAGCACTTACTGGACTTGCTGTTATCAGAATGCTTTTTCGCTCATGAGAAAACTAGGAGCTACCTGGTCACTGGCACAAACTTACAAAAATCTTATAAAAACTGCTTTTGTCTGCTAAGTCGGTCAAAATGAATGAGGATAAACTGATACTGGTCATTTACTGAGCAGAACGCTATTCAGTCTATTTGGAATGCTATCCTTAAAGGTACTTTTTCTCTATAAAGAAATCTAATTTAGTTAGATGAAATAAATCACAACTGTTTTCACTTCCTTGGGTTGGTTTCCTTTAGCTAGTTTGATGTATGGTAAATGGCTAGGTTAGGGTCATGTGTTAGGTTAACTAGAGGTTTGTGGAATATCTTATTAACGAGAGTATTTAAAGAAAAAACTAGTTAAGGGAAGCTGGTTACCAAATATCTAGTAGGACTGTTGGATAAAACCATCTAATCCTTCACTCTAACACTCATGATGGAGATGTTACAATAACAATCTGGAATCCAAAAGCCTTCCTAACCAGGTTAATGTAGCACTTAAGAGTACTTGCTCCAGTTATCTAATCAGTGTTATTTTAGGAGGAGTTACTTTGGATTAATCCTTGATTTGGTGCCTTGGGGAAGACTGGGTGTGGTCTTTGGAACATCCTGTCTATTTAGGCACTGATTATGACTTCCTTGCAATCTCTGCCTCCCCCGGATTAAGGACTCCAGATACCACTGTTCCTGCTGCAGCTGCTGCTTCCTGTTTTCTAAGTGGCTTTGAGTAGCCGTTAGTTTCTGGGCTTGCTCAATTAGCTGCAGTAATTCCTTCTTGAACTGCTGGTTCTCTCTTTTGAGGCCACAGAAGTATTCAAAAATAGACCGCTCTGCTGCCAACTTCAAGGCCTGGGCTTTCTTATTAAGCTCTCTTCTTTTTCTCTTTCCCAGTAGCCTCCTGTCTGGCTTGCTCAGTTGTTTCTCCAGTAATCTTTTCTCCTGGAGGAGCTGGGCCTGTACTTCACGTGTCTTTGCAGCTGTCTCAGCTTGGACTTTCTTTTTATCCTCCTGTAATGTCTGTATTTCTTTCTCCTGCTTTTCCTTTAATATAGCAATGTCCCTCATTGCCTGCAACTTCCGCTTCAAACTGGATTGGATATTTTCCTTTTGCAAGAGCGCTGTTTTAAGCACTGAAATTTGTTCTGCATATCCGGAGGCTGATTCTTGTCTTCTTCGTTCAATCTCTCCACTTTGTTGTAAATAGCTGTTCCATACCTTCTCAGGTTGCTTTGTGTACTCTTCAGTTTTGTTAGTCAGGTATTCCAGAAAGAACCTGTTTTCAGCCTGGACAAGTAACTTTTCTTGGTATAGCTCCCTGTATTCCTCCAGTAGCTGTTCCCGCTGGATTTGAGCTTGTTTTATATGCTTGTTCAGAACCGTCATTTCCGCCACTATCTTTTCTTTAAGGATTGTCTCCACCTTTGTTAGCTTCTCTGGCTTGACAAAATTATTTATTAGCCTATGATACGGTGGAAGGAGCCTTCTGGGGCCCTCAGCAAACCTGAAAGAACAAATGAGACATTCCTCTCTCAGTTAATGAAACTTTAGGAAGTGCACAACTGTCCTTTATTTATACAGGAGAATATTTCTGAGCACCCAGAATGTTCCAGACATTATGCAAGGTGAGGGGAATCCAGCTAGTGGTAAAAGATGACGGATTTAGCTCATCATTTACAACGTGCGTTCACCACAACCCTGGGAGGTACTATCTCAGTTTTAAAAAGAGAAAACAGGTTCAGAGAGTTTAAGTGAATTGCCCATGACTCACACCACTAGCAAGTGGCAGAGCCTAGGTATGAAAGCCAGATCTTATGACTTACTGAACACTGTTAAGCAGCTACAAAGGGCCACAGAAACAGACTGGGTGGTTGCGAGTAGAAATACTTTTCTAAGCTCTTTCATCATCTTTCCTGAGTTTCTGAGAGCCCTTCAGTGAGAAGGAAGCTCCCCTCCAGTACCTATTCGCACCTGGAATCCAAACATTCATCCTGAAGGTCACGGCAACTGCGTAGTTCACCGAGGGTGATTACCAAGGAATGAGCGCTAGCATCAGGAACCTGCGCCTGCAACTCGCGAGAACAACGTGCAAGTGCGGAAAACTCCCGTAGTTTATCCGTTCGGTGCTCAAAGGGTCTCGGTGCTGCCCAGCAACCCTGGAGGTTGCACCCTGCTCCAGTCTTGGCTGGTCCAGCCCTGAACTGTTTAACCGCCTCGGCTACCGAATAAACCCGAGCAGCCGGTCCTCCAGTGGCTCCGCTCCCCGCTCTCTGCGGGCTCGAAATGAGAGGCATGCGCCTCGTTTTCTTGCTGTGTGACTCCTGCCCTAGGGACCCCATCTCTTCTCGCCTTCCCCCTGGGGACAAAAGCCCTCCCAGGCTGCAGAGATCAGCGCCCTTTCCTAGCCCCCTTCAGCCTTCCTCTCGCTTACTCAGCGCCCCCACTTCCTCGCCACTGTCACTAGTTGGCTCACCAGCCCTGCCGATACTAAGAAGATGCCCTGGCAACTACCGCGCCCCTTCACTCGCTCCTTTCTGACGCTTTGGTTCTGTTTTCGTTCGCTGCCCAGAACATCGCGGAAGTTTCTCTAGCCATGCAGTGTCTCTATGGTCAGGTGGGCGGGGCCAGGAGGAAGATGGCGGCGCCCGCAGCTGCAGCTGAGCCCCAGGCTTCTGGGGGTCCGCGGCACCCAGTGTGTCTGTTGGTGTTGGGAATGGCGGGATCCGGGAAAACCACCTTTGTACAGGTGACGTACACAGCGTGGGTGTAGTAGGGGAGCGCAAAAGGTTGCCTCCGACAGGCGGAAGGCCAGGGAGAAAGGGAGGGAGGTCTCCGAGGATTTGGAGGGTATCGGCGCATGGGTTTCGGTCGTTTCCCATCAACTTTAGTTCCTTCTCCGGCAAAGCCTCCTCGGGCCCTAGCCAGGTTAATTAAGGCTCTCTTCTGCGCACCTTCAGTGCATACTCGGTCAGCTTACCACGTTGTACAGGAATTGTCTTGCTGATAAAATTGCCAGTTTCTCGAAGGCAGGGGCTTACAAGTAACTTTAGAGATTAATACAGTGCTAGCACACAGGTTTTGGTGAAGATTTGCCGAAGAATTATTTCTTGCACGCCTGTCATGTACCATTCACTGGGGATATAGCGAAGATTAGGTTGACAAGATTCATTCATGGGGCTAAATATTTAATGGAGGAGATAGAGAAAACCCACATACGAAGAATCAAAACAAGTAAACAAGTGACTATGAGTAGGGGAAGTTTTGTTAGATGGATGATGAAGAAAGGTAGCATTTGAACTGAGAGTTGTATCTTGGTGGTGGATATAGTGGGTGGATATTTCAGGTAAAAGAAAATCTAAGTGTAAAACTCTTAAGGCATGGGTGGTAAAGGAAGTTCTCTCTTGTCCCCTCTTTGTCTCCTTCCAACCTTCTCATATCTCTGCAGAGGCTCACAGGACACCTGCATGCCCAAGGCACTCCACCTTATGTGATCAACCTGGATCCAGCAGTACATGAAGTTCCCTTTCCTGCCAATATTGGTGAGTAAACCGGTAACATAACTTGTGTGAAGTGCTTTAAAGAGAATGGAAAAGGCCGGGCGCAGTGGCTCACCCCTGTAATCCCAGCACTTTGGGAGGTCGAGGCAGGTAGATGAAGAGGTCAGGAGTTCAAGACCAGCCTGGCCAAGATGGTGAAACCCCATCTCTACTAAAAATACAAAAAATTAGCCAGGCGCGGTGGCAGATGCCTGTAATTCCCGCTACTCGGGAGGCTGAGGCAGGAGAATTGCTTGAATCCGGGTGGCAGAGGTTGTAGTGAGCTAAGATAGCACCACTGCACTCCAGCCTAGGCAATAGAGTCAGACTCTCCAGCCTGCCAGTCTTCAGTGCCTTCTTTTTTGGTGTTTTCTAAACTATCTACTTTCATTTCCTTTGGATTTGCTTGAGTTCCTAAACAGCTTAGGCTTTTTATTTTGTTGTTGTTGTTGTTGTTGTTGTTTTTTTTAATAGAGTCTCTGTCACCCAGGCCAGAGTGCAGTGGCGTGATTCACAGCTCACTGCAGCCTCAACATCCCAGGCTCAAGTGATCCTCCCACCTCAGCCTCCTGCCACCATGCTGGGCTAGTTTTGTTTTGTTTGAAGAGACAAGGCCTCTCTATGTTGCCCAGGCTGGTCTTGAACTCCTGGGCTCAAGTGATCTCCTGCCTTGGCCTCCCAAAATGCTGGGATTACAGGTGTGAGCCACTGTGCCCAGCCTAATTCCTTTTTAAAAATCATGTCTGCATTGCCTTTGCATTGCGTTTGTTAGTAATAGGCAATTAGTAAGAAGCTTTTTTTTCCCCTTGATTTTTGCCTCCCTTTTTCTAGGCGTGTTTAACTTGTGTGAAACTTCTCATTTTGTGGAGACAAAACTCTCTACCATAACTTTAGAGCTCCTAGCCCTAACATTCTTCATGAATTACTTGACATTTATTCTTTGTAAGGAAGGAAACCAGTGTGAAAGTGGAGGTGGTAGAAGAGAATGCTGACAAGAGAAGGGTAGAAGGCCAGTTTCACTTTCTTGCTGGTAGGGAATGTGCATGTATTACATTCCAGTTAATTCTTTTCTTTCTCCTCAGATATTCGTGACACTGTAAAGTATAAAGAAGTCATGAAACAGTATCCTTTTCCATCTACTTTGGTCTTGACTCATTCCTGGCTTCGTTTCTGTGTATTTTGTGGCTTGAAAGAGTGTTTTTGCCTTTTCCCTGTGAAATATACAAGCAAAAGGATGGAAGCTGATTGTGGCAGAGGTAGCTGATCAGAAATATTATTTCAGCTTGAGATTTTAGTTTTTTTACTGTCTCCCCAGATGGCAGGCTGTTGTAATTAAAGAGCAGAGAGTAGGATAGGATAACTGACAGCTACCTGGGTCCCACAAGGTAGTATTTTGCCTTGGAGGATCATCTGTTGGTCACCACCTCTTTAGACTGGGAAACTCAGAAATGAGTGGGTTTAGTTGGATTAACTCTTAGTAAATTGCTGTGTGAAATGTGTACTCTGCTTAATTTGTTTATGAGGATCAGAGCCGGAGGTGTTATACAGGTGGCCTTCATGGCCAATGCTAGTGAGCTGTCACTGCCTGATGCACCTGTGTTACATTTTGGTCACTTTGCTTTCTTCATTTTGCCTGGCCATTCCTAAAGTCATAAATGAGTGAGCCAGACCTTGATACTGAATGTTTCCCTGTGTGGTTAAGGTTGTGTGGTAGTCACGGATTAGGTTGCCAGTATTCATTAATGGAACACTAATTTCATAATGCTGTTTGTGTGAATGATAGCCTGGGTGTGAACTTTATAATCTAATCTATAAGCGATTTCAGTCCTCAACTTGGTGTCTAGATATGGACTTGGACCCAATGGTGGCATAGTGACCTCACTCAATCTCTTTGCTACCAGATTTGATCAGGTATGTCTGTCTTTAATATATCAATATGGCTGTGTAAAAATCTGTGACTCTTAAATTCCTTAGCTTGATCACATTGATAAAAGCAGCAAACTTGAACATAAATACAGAAAATAAGTAGACATTTTGTCAGACAGAGAAGTAGACTATGAGAAGGTGATCAGTATTGTCAGACACTTCACATTTAATATTTGTGACAGCTAACAAAAATCTAAAAGACCTGGGTTATTTTCTTGACATGTTCTTTGCTTGTGGTATTACCCTGAAGCTGGGATGGGGATATTTGGGAGTGGGATGGACTAGCAGTCATGGAATGGAAAAATGATGGGGCATTTTACTTGTGATAAATATTTGTCATTCTTTAGGTTTTCTTTGTCACCTATTTCTATAAGAGTGTTTTATAATCATTGTTTTTTTCACTCTGATGTTAAGCCATGAGACAGGCTGTTAACATTTTGACAAGAGATACTACTTGACATTGACAGATCAAAGTCTTCTGCTTCTCAGGTCCTTGGATTGTGCCCCAAGGTGGTATTGGAGTGCTGCTGATGTGGCTGTGTTGCTTTAGCTCAGTCTGTTTATTCCTTGTTGTCCTAAGATTGCAAACGTTCAGTAGGTGATTGAGGGATTCAGTAGGTGATAGTGCCTGTGAGGTATGCCACCCTGGAGAGGGCTCTGTGATTCTGTGTTGAAATCAGAATTTGTTGTCATTAATATATTTTTCTTTTAGGTGATGAAATTTATTGAGAAGGCCCAGAACATGTCTAAGTAAGTGATTTCAGTAACACCCATTTATTTCTCTGTAGTTGACATATTTCTAGGCTTCATGGAGGATCTGGGATACCATCAGCCTCTGAAAGGATATAGATTGAGATGAAACCATTCCTCCCATTCTTCTTCCTCTGTTCCACACTTACCCCAGCCCTAAGCAACCAGATGTTTCCCAAGAGATTTACATTCTGGTTTTGTGTCTTTCATTTTAAATGCATTGTGTTTCTATAAAAGTTTCCCCTGTGATCATTTGCAGCAACTCATGGTCTGCTGTTCCTGCCCATTAGCGTGAATATTGGTCATTGAACAAAGTCTAAGGGATCATCATGTGCAGTTTAAGGGCAATATGAGGAAGTTAGATTTGGCAGTGTGCAGAGGTTATTCCAGTCTTGGATAACCAGATGTTTATTGTCTTGTATGATGGAATATCCTTCAGCATAACACAAATGTAACACCTCTTTCATGATCTTTCTTGACATAGATATGTGTTGATTGACACACCCGGACAGATTGAAGTATTCACTTGGTCAGCTTCTGGGACAATTATCACTGAGGCCCTTGTGAGTATTCTAGGACTTGCTACTGAGAATAGCTAGAGGGGCTAGACTGGATGAGCATTTATTTCTAATTGCCTTGGACTTTATATGGGAGGGAGTTGTAGAAGCTCTGCACACCCTGACTAAAGTGGTTTCCCCTTGTTAAGGATGGTGGAAAAAGTTTGAGAACAGGTCATGAGCCCTCTGACCAAGGCTTTGATTATTTTGTGGCTTTAGGCATCCTCATTTCCAACAGTTGTCATCTATGTAATGGACACATCGAGAAGTACCAACCCAGTGACCTTCATGTCCAACATGCTCTATGCCTGCAGGTAATTGATTATTGGTGGGGACAGTGTTCCATCAAGGTGTAAGGCCTTTTTCTCCTCTTCTTCCTCTTTTTAAAATTTTTTAAAAATCTGATTGCTTACCCCTGCATTTGTGCTCATTCAGATTTGCTCTTCAGTTGAGTGGCTGTGAGTTGGGGAAGGTCAGAGGAGAAAAGAGGCATATGTGCTATTGGCATTCTCTCTCAGTACCCTCTGATCTTCCTCCCTTGTTGTTACAAAAAGGTGATGTATGAATATGAGCTGTCTGATAGTTGTTTCCAGTTGAATAAAATCCAAGTCTAAAGATAATAAAGTCCTCTGGGCTGAGTCTGTCGTCCCAACACTTGGGAGGCCAAAGTGGGAGGATCGTTTGAGCTTGGGAATTTGAGACCAGGCTGGGCAACATAGCAAGACTCTGTCTCTGTAAAAAAATTTTAAAAATTAGCCAGCGTGGTGGCATGCCCCTGTAGTCCCAGCTACTTGGGAGGCTGATGCGGGAGGATTGCTTGAGCTCAGGTGGTTGAGGCTGTATTGAGCCAGATTGTGCCATTGCACTCCAGCCTGGGGCAACAAGAACCTGTCTCAAAAAAAAAAAAAAAAAAAAAAAAAAAGAAGAATAGAGTCCTCTGGCCTAAATGATGATGCCGGTAGAGTGAAATTGTAACATGAGGAGATACCATGAATAAGAAGATTTATCCATAATTCTAAAATGCACAGGTGGCCAGGCATGGTAGCTCATGCCTATAATGCCAGCACTTGGGGAGGCCGTGGTGGAAGGATTGCCTGAGCCCAGGAGTTTGAGACGAGCCTGGGCACCATGGTCAAACCCCATCTCTACAAAGTATACAAAACATTAGCCAGGCATGGTGGTGTGTGCCTGTAATTCCAGCTACCTGGGAGGCAGAGGTGGGAGGATTGCTTGAGCCTGGGAGGCCAAGGCTGCAGAGCTGTGATGATGTCACTGCACTCCAGCCTGGGCAACAGAGTGAGACCCTGTCTCAAAAAAATAAAAGGCACAGGTTTGCCCCGCAGAGGAAGGGCATGCCTCACTGGATTATATTAGTGCATTAAGACTGAGGAGTGGCCAGGCGCGGTGGCTCACACCTGTAATCCCAGCACTTTGGGAGGCTGAGGTGGGGGGATCATGAGGTTAGGAGATCGAGACCACGGTGAAACCCTGTCTCTACTAAAAATACAAAAAATTAGCCGGGCGGGGTGGTGGGCGCCTGTAGTCTCAGCTGCTAGGGAGGCTGAGGCAGGAGAATGGCATGAACCCAGGAAGTGGAGCTTGCAGTGAGCCGAGATCACACCACTGCACTCCAGCCTGGGCGACAGAGCAAGACTCCGTCTCAAAAAAAAAAAAAAAAAAAAAAAGACTGAGGAGCAAGGCAAGGCAGACAGTTATTAAAGCTGAGAGAATTTAATTTTGAGGGTGCACAAATGTCATCACCAACATTTGTCTCTTCTGATGTGACAAGGGATGTCCCTTTTTGTTGGATGCAAGAAATCTTGATCCAAATAGAAATCTGAAGATTGACAGCATTATTTCATTTTCATATTAATTGTTTATTTATTTATATTTTTTTGAGACAGAGTCTTGCTCTGTCACCCAGGCTTGAGTACAATGGCACGATCTCACCTTACTGCCATTTCCACCTTCTGGGCTCAGGTGATTCTCCTGCCTCAGCCTCCCGAGTAGTCACTATGCTTAGCTAATTTTGTATTTTTAGTAGAGTTGGGGTTTCACCGTGTTGGCCAGGCTGGTCTCAAACTCCTGACCTCAAGTGATCTGCCCGCCTTGGCCTCCCAAAGAGCTGGGAATACAGGCATGAGCCACTGTGCCTGGCCCATTTTCATATTAATTGTTTAAAAGAAAATTATTTGATTTGCCTGATGGTGGTAATCATTTCTTTACAAAAATATATATTATTTATGTATGTATTTTTAGAGGTGGGGTCTCACCACGTTGCCTAGACTGGTTTTGAACTTGTGGGCTCAGGCAGTCCTCCCAGCTTGGCCTCCCAAAGTGCTGGGATTACAGGCATGAGCCAACACCCCCAGCTGGTAATCATTTCGTGATGTAAACATACAGTTGACCCTTGAACAATTTGGGGGTTAGAGGAGCCAACCCCTGCGGAGTGGAAGACCTGACTATAACTTTGACTCCCCCCAAACTTCATTACTAAAGGTATGCTGTTTGGAAACCTTGCTGGTAACGTAAACAGTAAATTAGCACACATTATATATATTATATGTATTATATGCTGTATTCATATAATAAGCTAGAGAAAACAAGGGGAAGATATATTAACTATTCATTAAGTGAAGTGGCTCATCATAAAACTCGTCATCCTAGTCATCTTCACTTTGAGTAGTCTAAGAGTAGGTGTTGGTTTTGCTGTCTCGGGGTGGCAGAGGTGGAAGAAAAGTAAATCTCACAGTTCAAACCTATGTTGTTTAAGGGTCAACTGTGTATCAAAATATCCCTTTGTACACCTTAAATATACATATAATTTTTATTTGTCAACCATACCTCAATAAAGGTGGGGGTAGAAACATTTTTAAATGTTACTTTACAGATTGAAAAAAGTTTTCATGTTCTTTTCCCACCTTACTGAGGTACAATTGACAAATAAAAATTGTATATATTTACGTGTTATTTGTAAAGAATAAAGGAGATAATACATACAAAGGTGCTTATTAGCACAGTGCCTAGACTATACAGATTGAGCATCCCATATCCAAAAATTTGAAATCTGAAATGCTCCAAAATCTGACTTTTTGAACACTGACATGACACTCAGAGGAAACGGTTATTGGAGGATTTTGGATTTTCGGATTTGGGATGCTCAACCAATAAGTATTTACAAATGTTCCAAAATCTGAAATTGAAAACACTTCTGGTCCCAAGTATTTCAGATAAGAAATTCTCAACCTGTAATACATATTCAATAAATGTTCATTTCCTTCTCTGAAAAATGCCAGTTTGGTAAAAAGCAAAACAAAAACAAGTTCAATATTAAGGCATTCTTACTTCAAACGAGAGTGACAGTTCGTGTGTTGTTTCTGGGTGGTGGTGGTTTTCCTGTTGGGAGAGACTATATGAGTGTTATGTAAAAATGGATGACTACTTTTTAGATTCTGAACTCATTCCCCTTCTCTTACTTAGCCCAACATACTGACACTGGACAAGCAAGAGCTTATGTGCTTTTACTAATAACTTCTCAATGTTTGGTTTTTCAGCATCTTGTACAAAACCAAGCTGCCTTTCATTGTGGTCATGAATAAAGTAAGTGTATTCTTCCTGTTGTGATTCACCATTTTTCATCAGAACCTTGTGGTTGGAAGGTTTGGGTGGGTGAGAAAGATTTTTTCAGATGCTGGAGACCAGATTCAGGCTTTACTGAAACAAATTCATAGGCACTTCGAGAAAATGAATCAACCAAATTGAATGAGCAGTTATTACCAACTCTTGTCTAAAATTATTTTAGGCTAGGTAGAGTAGCACTTCAACCATAGTGTGTAGATTATCCCTCACAGTCAAGACTGTGTAATTACGAGAGGGACAGCTAGTGTACTGGAAGTGGCAAATTAAAAAACACTAAACTTCTCTGTTGGTTGATGGCTAGGATGCAGGAGACATTTTGACTTCAGAGCCTAGAATGTGCTGGTGTCCATTCTGGCCCTGGTTACTTGGCAGTGGATGGTAGAGGGTGAACCAAGAGAATATATATCTTCATTTAGTTACACTGACTACACAATGATCGTGGTTCTTTGTGGCTTGTTGCAGTGGAGGGGGAAATAGAAGCAGAGAAAGAAAATATATGGATGATACGCTCCTTGCTGTCACCACTTAATTAAAAGAATAAATTTTGTGTTTGTTGTCTCTGGTTGCTCATAATTGACTTCTCTCTGGTACAGACTGACATCATTGACCACAGCTTTGCAGTGGAATGGATGCAGGATTTTGAGGCTTTCCAAGATGCCTTAAATCAAGAGACTACATATGTCAGTAACCTGACTCGTTCAATGAGCCTGGTGTTAGATGAGTTTTACAGCTCACTCAGGGTAAATTTTCTCTCCTGCTCACACTGACAGCCTCTCCAGATAACCTGTTAACCCATAGGACTGGCTTTGAACCTGGCTGAGAAAGGAAGCTTATTACCTACTGAAAAGTAACTTTTAAAGCATTGCTTATTAAAAATTGTGGAGTGTACAAGAAGAATAAGATAGGGACCCCAACTTCAGAGTTTATAGTCTATTTGGGAGAGAAGGCTACACACAGAATTAAAACAGATGATATAGTAAGTACCTTAAGAAAGATTGGAAGTTGGGCGGCAGATCGAAATGACGGATTTTGGAGGATATAGCATTAGAGGTATGCTTTGAAGAAGGGTAAGATTTATGTAGGCAAATGCAGAGTGGGTTAATTGCCCAAGCAAAGGCATAGACAAAGCAGAAAGTGATTTGGTTTGGTTTGATAATAAGTCCTGTTAATTGTTCAGTCCTAATTATATCTTTTTTTTTTTTCTTCTTTTTTCCTTTTGGAGAGAGGATCTTGCTTTGTTTTACCCAGGCCAGAGTGTAGTGACAGGATCACAGCTCACTGCAGCCTTGACCTTCTGGTCTCAAGGGATCCTCCTGACTCAGCTACCAAGCAGCTAAGACTATAGGCATGTGCGGTATACCATACCCAGCTAATTTTTTACATTTTGTAGAGACTGGGATCTCGCTATGTTCCCCAGGCTGGTCTTGAATGCTTGGCCTCAAGTGTACCTCCTGCCTCAGTCTCCCAAAGTACTGGGAGTACAGGCATGGGCCACTGCACTCAGGCCATATCTGTCTTTGTCAATTTTTTTATTTTCCATGGACTTATTTCTGTGACTTTTGACTAGGTGTGCTGTTCTTTTTTAGCCTGGCTTTTTGCCAAAGACTTCTCAAAGCATAAACCTCTCTTACTAAGATTTTATGACATTTGAACAAGTTAATATACTTCATTAAAAAATATGTGGCATTTATGATGCTTTTTGGCAGGTGGTGGGTGTCTCTGCCGTTCTGGGTACTGGGTTAGATGAACTCTTTGTGCAAGTTACCAGTGCTGCCGAAGAATATGAAAGGTGAGGATAGAGGAAAATTCTATTGATGACATTCTTAATAACCTACAATTCTGATATGAAAGCAGTTTTTCCAGGAGAAGCGTTAAGTTTTCATGATGGATGTATTATATTTGCCTTGCATATCTGTTTTGAATCAGATCACACGTAGGGGTAACAAGTTCCCTTTAACTTTTTTTTTTTAATGGAAGTATAAATCTTCATTGTATTGAGTGATTAAGAGCAGGGATCATCAGACTTTTCTGTAAAGAGCTAAATAATAGATATCTCAGGCTTTGTGGACCATACAGTCTCTGTTGCAACTGCTGAAGTCTGCCATTGTAGGACAAAAGCGTCCTTAGACAACTCGTAAATGAATGGGCATGGGTTACAGTAAAACATCATTTATGAAAACAGGCAGTAGGCTGGATTTGGCACTAAGGTTGTTGTGAAGACTGAGAAAACATGTATACAGCACTTATCACAATTGCTGACATATAGTAAGCATATTTTATAATAAATGTTATAACTGTTGTCATCGTTAATACTGGAATTCCATTTAACTAAAGGAAAGTGGAGTCAGAGTCCTGTGCACTTTCCTTAGGCCTGTGGCACGATAGCCGGCTTATTAGCGTGTGTCTTTGGCTTCATATTTTGCAAGATCCTAACAACCATGTTTTGGTTTTGAGACACGTTATTTTGATTTTGATTCATTAGACACAGGGGTGTTATCAAAACCTTAGGATAGACTCTTCTCTGTATCCTTTCACTGTTGGTGTTCAAGTAAAGCACATAATTGTATGTTGCATATCCTGAGCTCAACAGGCTTATCTTTTACTTATCTCAGCCTTTTATCTCGAATGATGAGTTCATCAGTCATGTTCTCACCAGTATTAATCTTTCCAGTCCAGCAGTCAGGATTGTGTCTCCTGGTTCCAAGGTGGGAGCGGGCACCTTGGCTTTTAATTCCATTGGGTAGACTCTATCAGTGACTAAGATTTGTTACATCTGATGTTGAATGAAGTCAGATATTTTATTATTGTCAGAGTCTTAGGAAAACAGAGGACATAAGGGATGTGGAGAGTGAGTAGGATAGATGATTAAGCAAAGGAATTTAGAAAGTGTTTCTCTTTACAGGGAGTATCGTCCTGAATATGAACGTCTGAAAAAATCACTGGTAAGAAGGGAGGCTGTTTGTATATTTTAGAAGGGCCATTAAAAAAACCCAGCTCAATCCTGATGACATAAGTGCTTTTGTTTTGGTTATTAATGTATCTTTTATTTAATTAAAAAAGTTTTTTGTAGCTTTATTGAGGTACAATTGACTAATGAAATTTCAGTGTATCTTCTAAATACTTGTTAATTTAAATTTGTACATCTGTATATATGTTGTCTGGGTGCAGAAAGGCTCCTTAATGTTTCTTCCCTTTCAGAGGTCAATTTAAAACTAGTTGTAGAATTTTGTATAGAGTATGGTGGTGATTCACAACTCCTTTTTTCGTTGTTGAGAAAGGGTCTCACTCTGTCACCCAGGCCAGAGTGCAGTGGCATGATCACGGCTCACTGCAGCCTCAACCTTTTGAAAGGCTTAGGCGATCGTCCCATCTCAGCCACCTGAGTAGCTAGGACAACATGTATATACCACATGCCTGGCTAATTTTATTTTGTAAATTTTTGTACAGACAAGGTCTCACTATGTTTTCCAGGCTGGTCTCAAATGCCTGAGCTCCTGCGATCCTCCCTGCTGGGCCTCCTGTAGTACTAGGATTACAGGCTGAGCCACCATGCCCAGCCTTCTCTTATCCCAAATGATTGAGTGTCCTGCTTCCATAGGCTCATTGGATCCCTTGTCTTTGAGCCTGCCTGCTATGTCTACTTCAGGTTTTTGTGTTTTTTTCCCATATAATAAATTTTATTATATCTTTTGTTTTTTCATTTTGTAGGCTGGGGATGAATAAAAAGAGTAATGCTTTCTATCTAGGCATTTTGCCTAACCAGTTGAAATGTTCCAGTTTAATTAACAGAGCAGGAGATCCACCCTGGACTGAACTCAACACTTCGGAATTGAGGGTTCTTTTGAAATCTTTTTGTGTTCAGTTTCTGAATCCTTTAAATCAGTCTGCAGAGCTCTCTAGTGTGAACTTCTGCTGTAACCCAGGCCCACGCTACTTAGTGTTTCTGTCCCTATACCGGACGTCCCTTATCTGCATCAGTTTTTATGTAGCCTCTAGTATTTGTA